TTCTACATCAAAGCTGGCATAGCAGGCGTCATCTGGGAGATTTACAAGCGTGATTTTCTCCAGGAATATTTTCAATGGACAAAGCGATACTCGCAAACTATGTTGATTTCAGCTCAACACCATTTTTATTTGTCGTTCGAGAATAGTGTATGTGATGCGTATGCAACCGAAAAATTATTCTGGCCAATGCAACAGTTAATCGTGCCGATCGTCTTGAAAAGGTCAATCGCAATGACATTCATTCCACATGGATCCTTCATCGCAGTGGACGATTTTGAATCACCAAAACATCTCGCCGATTACCTGAAACGTTTACTCGCCAACAAAGATGAATATTTGAAGTTGGTGATTCCACATTCCTTCAGCCGAATCCTCTCCGAGAAATACCCTCTCCCTTCACTCGTTCACCTTTAAGCGAACATCTTCGGGCGCATAACAGAATTACAGAACCACTCAGCACTGTGTTCACATGCCAGTAAAACCACCTTCTTAAGTGAGCACGGAAAACTGGTTGCAAGTTTTTGTTTCACTCTTAATTATCTTTTACTTTCAGATCTATTCATTTTGCGTTTTTTTTTTAAATGTATATTTTTCTGAACAATATCACCTTTCTTTTATAGATATTTTCAATGGACAAAGCGATACTCGAAAAACTTTGATGATGACTACGGTTGTGGCTTATGCAGATTCATTCATCAGAATGCGAATAAGCATCGAGTAGTATCGGACATCAGCGACTGGTGGTTCAATGGAGCGACATGTATCAATGATTTTGCTTCGACGTTCCTCAAAAATAGTTCCACTGACATCAACTCGACTCGACCGACGAGTAGCCGACGTTCTAGCGATGGACAAACCCAGCGCTCAACAAGACTTCAGATTTAAACACTGGTGATGTGATCAGAATTATTCTCAATTTGATGTAAGACGAAACCGAAATACTGAGTTTGTGCACAAATACCTTTGGTAGATCACAACACTTTAACCATCAAGTTTGTTGTGACTTCAACGT